CTTGAGTTTACACAAAATTATTGGATTTGAAAGACCTGATTTGTGTTTTGACTTGTGTTAAGACTTATAATAACTTATTTCAAAATGATTTATTCACTCCAGATACCCTCAAATATGGATTATCATCATTTATTTGCTATTTTTTGTTTCGGACGTTACATTTGTTTCGGACGTTACGACTGTTAACGGAAAATTGGTTTTAACTTTAAAATAGTATTGTAATGATGTATTGCAAATTTCTTTTTTTTGGTGGGTAGCCGCCATGAAATGTTTAAAAAATGTTACGAAAGATAGGTCCTGCAGTTTATATATTTTCTGCTACTTCAAATTGAAAGTTGTTTCGGACGTTACAAAATTGTTTAATGAGACAACTTTTTCAAATTTTGAATATATTTATAATATAAGCGCTACTACAATTAAATTATATTTTCTTTTAATTTAATGACTTGGAGTAACTAATAAGCTTATTCAAACCATAAACAATCTCATGAAATGATTGTTCTAGTGGGTTAAATGAGGGCCTACATTGTTTACGGAAAATGTAACGTCCGAAACACCATTTTCAATTGCACTGTTCTATCAAAATACAGGAGTTAATTCAGATTACTGTCAACTTTCTTTAAGATCCACCCATGCTCATTAATCATCAATAGAAAAAAAACATATTGCTTGTGGGTATATATTTTTTTCGGCTCCAACCAAAAAGGTATGTCAATTTTGTTACAAAATTCCGTAAACAATTGGCTGTTCAGGGATACCTCAAGCACATAAAGCAACGCTTAAATTTTTTCGTTAAGCTATGGGAGGTTAACCTAGGTCCATGCTACAAGAAAAAGTTGTAACTGATTTCTAATTCTTTATCTTTGTAAAGTTTCAGGCTGTCAAAGGGTCATTAAGCTATTTGGTCATAGTTACAAAAAACCAGTGCCATATGCCTATTCATCCCTGATCTCCGTTGCTTACATTCGACCTGTCAAACAATCTACCAGACTTTCGCTTTCCCTTGTAAGTTCAAGTGGCTAAATCCTATGGCACAGAAAAAAATAGATTGAGGAAGTTGCTATATTAAAATGGCATGTACTAAAAAGATATATCTTTAGTAATAGGGTTATCGCATTGCCTATTTTATTACTGATAGAAAATCAAGTCTCGGGATACTTAGAATTATTGGTTTCATACCCTCTTCATATCAATCTATTGAGTTAGAATAGCAATAGATTATGATGTACTCAAACCGTCGCACGCAATACTATATCTTTAGGTGCTTTAAATAACCAATGGAATGGTTTGATTATAGCGGTGACTGATGGGCAGTGGAAACCAGCGAAATAAGCAGAAGTTTTATTTATGTGATCTCTAAATATTATCTGTTATTTACGGAAAGCGGAGTGATACACTTTGAGGAGTTATTCATAAATTCCAGTTTTCGCCTCCTCTCCACCACCAAAACGTAGGACGTACAACATGATGACTGTCATAGATTAATGCTTTAGCTGAAATAGAAGAGGAGCTTCTTCTGACACGCAAGACTGATTAATGGCTGTTCTTGATGCTTTGCACTGCGTTCAAGAGGGTCTCAAAGCACTGCTTTTGATACGAAGCGGAGATGACGTTACCATATTTAACAACAAACTGTGATTATCATGATTATTGGCCAGCACTGTAAGCCGAACTGCACATCATGACATAATTTGCTTTAGCGTCAGAACATGATCTTTCAGTTATCCTGGTGGTATTCAAAATGCGCCATAGTTTTGTGGAAACACCTTGATATCGGCTCTCTGTGACTTTATTTTCTGAAAAGATGAAAGTTGATAAGAAACTCTCTTTTGCTTCACCCTGAGTAAATTAAACGCCTCAAAGTGATCTAATTTCTCATAGATGGAATAAGCATTGATGCTCAGCCAAAGTGTTCTTATATATCAACTGACCGAACTCAATCAATATGAAGCAGTGTAGGGCTACTTTCTTCCTATTAAATCTTCTGATTTACACTGAGCTGTTTCAACAATATTATGCAGAAGACTGTGCTGGTAAATACGGAGTTTTTTCATCACTTTGTTTTGTCGCACAAAAATGTGAAATCATAAGTTAATTTACAATATCACTATTCTTAGATGAGATTTCATCATATAGGATGCTTATATCAACATGATTAAAAATACTCTGGAGTACATGCTCTACATGACATAGCGTTGTATAACGGTAATACATGTATTAGTAGTAGAAATAGTGGTAGTAATAGTAGTAGTATAAGTAGTAGTAGTAGTAGTAGTAGTAGTAGTAGTAGTAGTAGTAGTAGTAGTAGAAGTAGTAGTAGTAGTAGTAATAGTAGTAGTATAAGTAGTAGTAGTAGTAGTAGTAGTAGTAGAAGTAGTAGTATTAATAGTAGTAGTAGTAGTAGAAGTAGTAGTGGTAGCAGTAGTAGCAGTCAGTAGTAGTATTATTAGTAGCAATTAAAAGATAATAATAATGAAAATAATAATAATAATAATAATAATAATAATAATAATAATAATAATAACAATAATAATAATAATAATAACAATAATAATAATAATAATAATAATAATTGTAATGGTGATGATAATGATAATTATAATCACAATGATAATAATTATAATTTTGATAATAATAATAATAATAATGAACATTTGTATAGCGCCTTTTCTACAAGTAGATACAAAGCGCTTAATTAACATATACAATGAACAATTAACAAAATAGAAAGATGCTTAACAACAGACATGTATGTAACAATATAGGAATGAACAAAATAAAGGGTAAGACAGGTAATAGAAGAGCAAGAACAAGTGCTGGTAAGCGGGCATTAGTTAAACAAGTGTGTTTTGAGTTGTTTTAATAATAATTATTATAATTTTGATAATAATGATAATGATAACAATAAGAAGAACAAGTTGATTATTTTTATTATCATAATAACAACATTAACAAAGTATTCAATTCTTAAGACATATGAAAGCAAAATATTTTTTAAGAATAAATGATTTACAATGTTGTCTTATCACTTCCAGGAAACTTGTCAAATGAAAACGTCACCTTTGACAAGAATCTGACTATTCAAGCGGGAGACTTCAGCTACTGCTGGCAGATATTTGCCCCGGATGACGATTACAGAGTGAGACTGAGTTTCTCGACTTTTGTCTTGAACAAAGGTTATGACTATGTGGAAATTGGAGATCTGTGGGATGAATCAATGAGATCGGATAGTTTGCTCGCCAAATTCAGGTATGACTTTATTCATATTCTTGAAGGTTCAGTTTGTTCTATTCCATGACCCCTCTTGTTCTTTCTCCCTCCCTCCTCCTATTTACGTCTTCATGGTGTTATCATAATGGCCCATCCGAATATTGATTTTGCTTTTCCCTTCTCGCTCAAAAATGTGCATAAAATCATGTACGTGTAATAAAGACTATAATTCGGTGTATATTGTATCCCGAATCGTGAGAACAGTTTTGTTTTCAATTCCTAAATTTTGTTGGTTGTACAGCCAACGACGAAGGCTAGAATGCCGAAAACTTGGCTACAATAAACAATCAACTAAGTCCTTTAGTCTTGTAGTCATTCATTTATATTTTGCCCATAACACACAAGACAGTCCGTCATATTTACCAGTTTTAGTCCACTTCTTACGATTTATATATATATATATAAAATCAGTGGCGTACGCAGGATTTTTTCAAGGGGGGGGGGGGGGGTTTAAAATCCAGTCCAAAATTTCGCAACGACTCAGGAAAATTTGAAAATCGCGCCGGCCAAAAAGTCGCTCAGTGGGGGGGGGGGGGGGGGGGTAAGCGGACACTTTTTTTTGTTTTTTTTGGTAGTCCAAAAAAAATCGCAACGACTCAGCCAGCCGAAAAGTCGCTCAGTGGGGGGGGGGGGGGGGGGGGGGGGGGGGTAAGAGGACACTTTTTTTTGGGGGGGGGGGTCTTGAAATTTGAAAATTTGACATTTTGTTCCGTTGGGGGGGGGGGTTAGGTCACCTTTCTTAGGTCAGCCATGGGGGTAATTTTTTTTTTGTTTTGTTTTTGTTTTAATAATTAAAAACAAAAACAAAAACAAAAACAAATCCAAAGGGGGGGGGGGGGGGTAGGGATTTTTTAGGGGGGTTTACACACATAAAATTACCAAAGGGGGGGTTTAACCCCCAAACACCCCCCCCCCCTGCGTACGCGCCTGTATAAAATACTAAGAGGAGTAATATCCAACGAGATGCAAAAAATATATATACAGTGTATACACTAAATATATTATTTTATCTTATAATCCTGGCGTAAGGTTGACTTTCTCTCATCACCTATCATATTCACAACCCCTACCATCTGTTGTTGCTAACTTGTACTGGTCGTTCTCTCCTCTTACATCATGGCAGTGGGAGGGTCACTCCCAAGGATGTCATCTCTCTAAGCAAGGGCATGTGGATTAAATTCATCCGCAAAAAAGACTTGGTTGCGTATCATGCAAGGGAATTACAATTCAGGTTGATAGCCGAAATACGAAAAGGTAAGGTGCCATCCGCTTCATTAAAACTACCAATTTATTATACCATCTACACCTTAAATTTAGCAGAAGTTCTAATTTTATACTGAGCAACATCACAAACATTATAATAAAAATACTTGACTGCTCATCCGAGAAATCGTAGTCTTGTATAAGAGCATCGCTGTTTCTGCACAGTTGCACAGTGTCTAAAAGAATATTATCTATATAATTATTGTTTACGTTTTAATATTGTAACACAATAACATTCAAATGTACAATGTATGTCACTATAAACATCGGCAAATTGAAAATTTGCCAACCTATTGGTAAGCTATTCTTTAGTCTGAATATATTTGCAGAAACAATTTAGAATTATTTGTGAAATACACCATAGCCCTCTTATTTCGATAACGTCATGTAAAACCAATGACCAGACAAAAAAATATCCTTGTCTCTTCAACGATTTTAAATATCACCACAGTTGACGTCAAGCTTGCATGCCCCACTCCATTCACAACATCACCCATCCATTTGAAAATGGAAACTACAGTGACAACGGTTACCGCCTGTGGTGGATAAAGACGACGCCACCGTGTACGATCACGGCAAGGCCAACTAGTCTTTGGTTGGAGGAGCTATACGACTACGTCTTCTTGGGGGACAGGATCAAAGGACCGTTTCGAACAGATACATGGTTCAACTTGACCGGTAGGAGGGAACCGTGGTATCTCTCTAAGAACGATTATAGAACAAACGGGACCGATCTCGTGGTCGTTTTCACCTCAAATTTTCACCGACCCAAAGCAGGATTCCTTTTCGAAGTGTTCGCGAGTTCGAATTTGACACGTGAGTTAAAGCATGTTTAACATCAGTATCCTAAGCATCAGGATCAGTGTGTTGGACATGAACACTAAGGATAGAGAAATGGGTAGGATAAATGTTTGGTAACTTAAAGAAAATCGTTTCAACAACTATGAAGTGACTAAAATCAACATACCTTAACATTTCTATTTGGACAGGTATGATCAAAGAAAATTACAAAGTAAAGAAATCTAAAAACACTTAACTCGGCAGCACAATTACACCGATTATTATATACGGGCTTTTCACACGCTGTTATTTTCATTTTTTGTTCTGATATTACAGACGTAAAATGTTAATATAAGACACAAATATTTTCTTATATGTTTGTAGTCGAACCAACTGAGAAATACACAACCAATCCCCAGACACACAATTCCACGTCAGTGATTACAACAGATGTAGGTCAGGAGCAGCAGAAACACGAGGCGAAATTTTACCTTATTGTCTCAGGTGTCTCTGTTATAGCTGTTGCAGTGTCGGCTCTTCTCCTCGTGGGAATGATCAGATGCTGCATGTCAAGCTACAAGGCCAAGACCAACCATATAACTTACAGAGACAGCTGGAACAATCACTTTCCTATTGCCAGATCCGCATCGACAGTGAGTCTTTACTTCCCTTTTTATATTTCTCCGGAATGCCTATCATGATTAGTCATTGACAAACATATCAAATTAAAATAACAACTAATCCTAAATTGACCGAATTACTGAAAAAAGGCTAGATTCTACTTATCATAATCTACGTTATTATACTAATTTTAATTCTTATTGCGTTGAGAAATCAAATCTATATTTCCTAAAATTCGTTTTCTTTTTATTTCAAAATTGTTAACGTTTGCAAAGACCCATTTTTAGACCAAGCATTACGATAGGATAAATGATTGCAATCGAACAGATGTACACACTATGTGATTACGTGATCGTGACGTCGTTTACTCTTGAATGATTATTTTGATTCTTTGACTCTACAGGGTAGCTCTCTGGGTCGGTTCATCTCGTTTTTCCGTTACCCTGACGAGAGCCTCAGCGACAGCTTCTCGTTTGAGACACCCTCATCTGGTACCTATTCCTCTAGTCGCTTCAGCTTCAATTCATCTCACACCAGTGATTATACTTCATCATCAAGTTCATACAGATCTTCGATATATTCTAGAATCCGTACGCTCTTCAATGGCCACCATGATAGAGACGACTTCTCCGTTTTTCGCCGCTCTTCTTCTGGAAAACTACTTACCACATTTCATCCACAAAGTTCAGAAGACACGAATGTCGAATCATCAAGCGAGGAGACGTGCGTCCAAAGTGAAGACCCCCGTACAAACAGAAGAATATCATTTAGAACGATAAGGAACGCATTCCGTAATAGCTTACAAAGAAATTCTGCAAGTAGTTTCCGATCGATAAGATCAAGTATTCAAGAGAGAAGGAATAGATCAAGCACATACAGTTCGATTCAGGATACCTCCTATTTGGATGCCGATGAGACTAGTATATCAACAGTTAGTGATTCCGTTTTGATCCCCCCAGGGGCAAGAATGAAAGTACAACATACTTACTTCAAAGGCTCTAAAGTTGGAGATGAACCTAATTCGCAGGAGAGAGGGAATAGATCAAGCACATATAGTTCGATTCAGGATACCTCATATTCGGATGTCAATGAGACTAGTCTATCAACAGATAGTGATTCCGTTTTCGTTCCCCCGGAGCCAAGAATGAAAGTACAACATACCTACTTCAAAGGCTCCAAATTTGGAGATGATCTTATTTCGCAGACGACACAGAGTGGTGAGCGGTTGGTACCTGGTAGGGCAGATGGCGCTTCTACAAGGGATCAACACGAAAACATATCGGACGACGCACAGGACAGACCAGGAATCATCCAACCACGAAAAGTATTACACACCTATTTTAAAGGTCGCAATAGGTTAAGCTCGGGTTCTAGACGGGTAAGTTTTGTAGGGAGACCACTGCCTTCCATTCCTGATCGACGGAGAGGAGATGATGACATGGAGACCCTGATAAACGACGTTACCTACCAAACCGTTACGTCAGGTCCGATTGACAACAACTTAGTGCATCATGACTCCCGTAATCTGCAGGCTGAAGTAGCACTTGTGCACGCGTCAGACGATAGGGTAGAGAATAGACTCACATCGTGCAGTGATGACCAGCTCGGTGTAGCAGAATCAAACATGGACCATCAGCACGACCTTTCAAGGAATACGTCGAATTGCAGCCCAGAGTCTGATGAAAATGAGATGCTGGTGGGTGCAACGGCGACGTCGGAAAATAGTCAGCTGTACAGTGGAACGAACAAGAGAAAAATCGCACATATTTATTTTAGAGGAAATACCCAAGCTTAATCATCAATATGTGTCTGTTTTAAGAGGTATTTTTGTGAACGAGAAAGGAGTGTTGATAAATATCTTTAGACTTGAGGGGGGTGGTAATTTCACAGGGGATGTGCTGCTGAATTGAAAATTTTCATCACTATGCATTGCCGTATAGGCAAAAGTTGTACTGTAGACCTTTTAGAATAATAATGAGTGTGTGAGGTATTGTAAATGGACTAAATGTCTTTGCAGCAATAGCATTATGCATCAAGAAATATGGTTATTGTTCAATCATATATTGACGAGGACACAGGCATAGTTCCAAGGCCCACAGGGAGGGGAGTAATATTCATTCACAGGCTGCAATTCGGTACACATTAAAAACAAATTGCATATACACTGTTTCTGAAAAGGCACCATATTACTATTTACTATTTTCATACACTAAAGATACGCAAAATGGCTCACATACTCAATGAGGATATACTTATATTTGCTTCTATAGCACCTAACACTTACTTTATCAAAGTCTCTAAGCGCTCTACAATAATGCAGCATAATTACCCTGGCTTTAGTAGTGCAGCTGCGTTTCAAGGAACAAATTCCTACCAGGTACCCATTTACTGGATCAATGTCTTGCCAAAGGACATTAGTGCCGCTGCAGGACTCGAACCGCAGACCTTGTGATCGATAGTCCGGCGACGTATCCACTCTACCACGACACCTCTACACTACACTTCTAATTCGTATCCAGTATGTCGAATGAACCTCAACGATATTGGTCTGTACAGAAGGCCTATATAATTTGTGCATATATATAATTTGAATTAATGAAATCCTGTTCAGTGAGTGGTCAACATAGCATCATGTGACCAAACATAACATCGCTATGATGTTACCGATAAGAGAAATGTGCTACATCGCAACTCCAGCGGTGTCACGGCGCTCACGCGTCCGGGAAAATGTTGGACCTTAAGATGCTTTAAGGTACATTCTGAGGCATTTTTGAGTGCGTAAACTGAACATGTGAATATTTCTTAGCTGTTTTCCTGCTTTTTCTTTTTTGAACAGACACAAAGGTGTTAAGATCATTACTGGCGGAAACAGGAATATTTGACCGATTGGGGACACGTATCTTTAAAAGTTGACAAGAAGAGAAAGAAAGCAAAAGCCTGGCAAATGTAAAATACTGTTTTGTAAATAACATAGTGTATTACACAAATTTTTCACACGCTTATATTTCATTTGTACAAAATATATATGCATATTTTAAAAACCAACTCATGTCTCTGTCATTTTCATATATTATTAAGTAAGATACTGATTTTACTTACGTTGTATTACATATTAATATAATTTCCAGTCAATTGAACACGATTTTTGCCTGGCTTGAGTCACGGTTACCGTATCATCTTTCAGAAGTACCATTTCAGAAAAACGGTGTTCTTTTCAGCGTGAACAAAATTGGCAAAAATGCTCGATTAATGGAATGCTAGAAATGTGTAGATCATGTGGAAAAGATAAGTAGTCTCTTAAAGGCATCGTTTAGCAATGTAAGCTGAGATGCATGGCCTTGCGTGTTATCATTATCTGTGATATGGTATAATATTGAAGCCCTAAAAAAAAGGATCATGATAATCAGACGGCGATCGGCTTGTAAAAGTCATGGGATTCCTGATTGTCCTAAAGGTTAATAATTATGATTGCAGCATGAGCTAAATCAAGGATTTTCAGGCAACGTTACCGAGTCACTTTAATGCAGGGGACTGGTAATCGACTGGTTATCTTATATGAGGAATCACTTGCTCTAGAAATGAATTTATTCCAACTTACATTAGCTCCAATTAGGGTGATCAATATCACCATCTTGTAGTATTTCAGCAAGTTTCAGCGAATAATTTTTGTAACAACAGCATTTGCAGGTGGGTTGAAATACTTTTATAGAGAACTGTGTTTTTGTGGGGAAGGCAAACAGGGGGACAGAGAGAGAAAGAGAGAGAGGTAGATACATTTCTATATAAATCAACTCCTGCCTTGTAAAGAGATAGAGAGAGGGGGATGGAAAAGAAAGAACATGGGAATGGAAAGAGATAATAAGAGAGAGAGAGAGAGAGAGCTCGGGGCGGTAAAATATAACTGTGCCATTATATTGCATTAATATTTCTTCACCGTGGATAAAATGTCGACCAAGCAAGCTTTGGATTGAATACACCAGAGGGAGAAGGCCCCAACTCCATCTAAACGATTTTAAGTCATTAAAAAGTCATTAATTTGTTTAAGAGACAGAGCGCACATACTTTCTTATCAATGAATTTAAACAAAAAAGTCTTTATGAAAACACCTTTTCTCCGATTTACTTGGAAATAATAGGTTCTTCTTTTTCTTCTTCTTACACACAAAAAAATGTTTTAACGGAGTTGGACCCTTTTTCCTCTCATATATTCAATTGAAGCCTCTAGTGCCCCGAAAATCGATTAAAGCTGTTTGACATTTAGATATGAATATGGTATTTGAAATCATTTTAATATACGAAGCTCTTTTTAAGACCTTTAATGAAAAATATACTAGAAACCTTCACATTTCATATTTCAAATATTCTTTCACCCTTTTTTTTTGAGTGAAAGAAACCTTCCGCACGAATAATATATCCGGAGAGGGCATTATCGTGACGAGCAATCGAAATGGCGAACCGAAGTTTTCCCTTCGTAGATTGGTCTATTCTTTCACTAAGATCCTTTACAATTCATGGATATTAAAAGTTAAGTTTTCAGTGCCAAAAGTTAAGTGCAGAATGAATTTATGCTACCGGAAACTCAAAATATCTCGCTCTATGAAAAGGAAATTGAAGGTCTGGAAAGCAATAACCATTTGTAAAGTTTAAGGCTGCAATCCGTTATTGATATATTTTCACAATACTGTATCTAAGTTTTGGTTTGTAAGAGACCCCCCCCCCCAACAAAAAAAAAAAAAAAATAAATAAATAATAAAAATAATAATAATTTAAGGAAGAAAAAAAAAAATCGCTTCTTTATTCGCGAATATACATTTCAAATGTCTTTAATCACAAGATGATGAAGGGTTTATGTAAAGTGACAATTTTATTTTGAATGTGTGGTTGATTGCTCAGCTGAGTGCCCTTCGAATAGTAGATTCATAAAAAATATTAAAAAATAATAAAATGGTAATGACAAAATGCTTTACTGCTCCCTTTTTTAAATATAATTCTGATAATGTATGACCGAGATGCTTTACAAAGAAGAATGGGAAAAAATGTTGAAACGTTATGGATTTTTTTTTCCTTCATGTCACCGAAAAGAACTCCCTAATGATTGAGTATAATAGCACGACTTTAAAAGGTTTCAAAGCAATATATAGATATATCCACTCGATTGGCACTCAGAAAAGTGTTCACCTGATCTTAATATCCTTCCTGTGGAGAAGTGGAGCACCTTTCACGGAACTTTCCGTTTATGAATACATGGACATTATTCCTGCCAGATAGAGTTTGCGCATATCTTGACGGGTATAGTCTTTGGTTCATATAAAAACCTCATGATTTTTACATGACCCATTAATTAAGACAGTTTCTCAGCTCTCCAGACTAACCGCCTCTAACGATAAAGTTGGTTGCGAATATAAAGTTAGATGGTCTGATTGGATCTCCCGTTCCGAGACACTGCTTTCGTCCCCTGTCGTCTTTGGACTTGCGTGATATCTTGTGTTTTTACTAATGCAAATTACAGCCCTGACTTCAAACAAATTGACTCTTACGAAAAATCTCATTCAAGATCCGATGGTTCTCCTTTGGCAAATAATTCGCTGAATTCCTCCAGCATGTTGACTGAATACTACATATTCCGTTTGATTGTTGGTTGTTTAGCAGCTGCCTTTGGGATACCCGGCAACATAACCATCATCGTCGTCTTCGCTCGTCTAGGAGTTAAAAATGCCACCGACATCACGTTCATGGCCCTCGCCGTTGTCGATCTCATCGCTAGCATCATCAACGGTATGAAGATCGTGATGGTTTTCTTTCATGGAGACCATCCCTGGGCTTGTTTCATCGAGGTCATTGCGACCAGGTCGGCCCTCTACGCTGGCCTCTTCCTGACCATCTGGATAGCGTTCTACCGCTACCAGGCTGTCTGTAAGCCATTCGCTAGACGAATCGGACGACGAGCCGCCGTCTTTATATCGGTCGCTTGCACCGTTGTCGCTTTCGGGCTCCATGTCCCGTTCTTCTTCATCACGACATCGATAAAACTCCGCAACGAATACGGATGCAATGTTTACGGCAGTGTACCCTGGGGGCGTGACGTGTATGCAAAAGCCCAAGCCGTTGTGTTTTGTGTTTCTGCCTTAGGTATTTCCGTCTTATACCTTCGCATCTACAAGTTCATTCGGGCCCACCAGATTATCCGCCAACAGATGATCACCGGATCTGCTGCGTTTGGTGGTCAACCACGCGTTCGAGCTTTGGACGATGTCGTGTCATCGCCAGGATCCATTCCATCAGTAAGTGGTGCAGTGTCCTCATCAGTTGGTTCCTTCTCGACTTCGGCAGAGCCCGTTGGAACCAAAGCCCAACCAAGCACTGTTCATGATGGACCAAACACGCAGGAAACCCAACCAACCAATGTTCATGTTGGAACCAGCAACCATACAACCCAACCAACCAACCACACGCTAAAGCCATCATCAAAGAAGCTTCGGAACCGCCCATCTGACCACAAAACCACTCAAGTTGTCATCATCATCACCGTCATATTTTTCCTCCTGTGGCTGCCCAACATCGTGCTTGATCAGATTCCAGGTGATATTTTCACTCGCCTCATTCAGAAGACCCATGTCACCATCTATTTCTTCTACCAAATTAAATACATCAGCCATATCACCAACGTCTTCGTTTATCTGTTCACCTATCGGCGCTTCAGACTGGCGTTCTGTAAGCCATGCAATTAATGTCTGATTACGGTTTGATTCCATTTATAATAAACAGATGTATGAAGTTAACAACTAAATTATTCCTAATTGTACCAAAAAACATTCTAAGTATAGAAATATTTTTAAATCCCGATTTACGTTTCTGAAGAATGTGAATTAAAGCTTAGCTCTAAAATTATTCAACAAAGGCCCACCTTTTATTTTTGAATTCAGAAAAGAAGAACAAAAATCTAATTTACGAGGGTTCTGAATAATTTAGTTGTTAAATGTAGAGTAAGTCATTAATAAAAGGAACCCCTATTCAAGCTCCAATTTCTTAAAAACCAAATGAAATTGCTGAAATATATAGTTGGTGTTTTCTTCTTTAATTGGATTATTGTTCTGTAATCTGTACTATATCCATGGGTAAACCTTTAAACCTACCTCATTGGGTACGTGCTAATGCTTTGCATTTGGCGAGATAAAAACACGGGGCAAACAATTTCCCGGGAACCGTATATGGCATTTATTTTGTAGAAACGCTGTACATTATAACAAATAAGACTATATACACGTACTTAGTAATTGTTGTCACTATGGTGAATTTGTGTTATTTAACACACTGGGGTTTTAGACATAGAAATAATTGATTTAAAGGATTCCATTCAGTGTTGTTGCGACTGTAGTCCTAACCGGCACATTATCAACAATCATCTGGAATCATTAAAAAAACAAAAACAATCATCTGGAATAACACTTCACTTAAAACATAAAACAATATTCCTTAATTGAAAACCCCTAAGACTTTAGGGATCGTTTCATATGAAGTACGGTTACATGCCGAAGGGTGATATTTTGGTTTAGTAATGCTGATTTTACTTTTGTTGATAATGTGTCGGCCTGAAACTACAGTCGTAACAAACGAGTGAACTCGGTTTTTAGTTCAAGAATCTTGTTTTCAATGACGGGAAGCGATTATCTTTTTTTATGTTGCCATGATTAATCATTCTGAATATAGACGGATTGGTGAAACAGAAGATATTGTCAAAATATTGTTTGCGATTATGATATAATTTGCATTGTACAAAGGTAGTTCGAATTACGGCAAAACATGAAGTATTTTCGGCGGTCTCAAAACATAAAAAAGAAGGTCTTTTAAAACTGTCACGTTAAGTATTCATTTTATGAGTATAGTTGCTATAAGAAACATGAACATCTATAGATATAAAGAACGTAATTTTCACTTTAATTCTATTTCCTTTTATCGTTAATTTTTCCAGATGAATAAGTTCATTCAATACATTTGTTAAACTCGACGATGTTCATTTTCTGCACACAATTTTTTAATTTGATTTAAGGATCAATAAAATAAAAGAGGGTGTAACATTAACAAATGCTGTGTTACTTATCACTTATCATGACCCCAAACTATTCAGAAATCTAACTTTATTTGGTTTGTCATCAAAGAGAGAACTTCAAGATTAATGCGCCATCTGGATCTTAAGTTGGTTTGAATAAAAGCAAAAAATGAGAGAAAATCAGCGAACTTTTGGGCAACCTTCGTTGGAGGGTTCTCCCAAAGTTCGCCATTTTTTCTTTTTGATTGATTGCACCTTTCAAACATTCATAACTTTTCTATTTCTAAGCGTGTTTTTTTGTTGTTGCTCAGACTTTCATTTTCTCCATATCTATTAAAATCAACTTAATATCAGGGTGTAGTCGGTGGACTTGCCCTTTAAAAGAGCATCTGGGGGCGTTTCACAAAACTTGTCGTCAGTGAAAAATGACAGCTTTTGTTATAAGCTACTGAAATCCTTGCTTCTGATTGGTTAACAACAGATTAGTCACTGATTTTTGTCATTTGTCATTGAAAAAAGGCTTCGTGAAACGGGTCCCATATGTTTCTTTAGCGTGTCCAGAACCTTCCTCCAGCATTTACTTTGAAGGGTTGATTGTCGTTTGGTCTACAACTGGTTCGTCTACTACACAAATAGTAGACGAATTAGTTGCAGACCATCACCTAGAAATCAATTTTTCCTTGATTTATCAATTCTTTCTGATGAATAACGGTTCTTTCCCGTAAGTCCAGGAAGCCAAGTGCTATCTCTTCATTACACACGTCATAATACGTTGACGAAAGGGAAACAATCTCTACTAATTTACATAATGTTGCCGGGCACTACATCACATTGACATTACCGCCGCAGCCAATTTGAAGTGCTCATACGTATTTTGATTACAACTTTTAAAAAATCATAACTTTCTTAAGTTTAGTCAGATTTAACTGAAACTTTCATCAGTTTGTTTCTCTGATTTTTCTGCTTTCTTTTAGATTAGTTGTCTATTTGGGTTGGATTTTCTTTAAGGTTTTGGTATAGAGAGAACAGATTTGGTAACCAAAACCTGCACCATTACATTACAACTAATAGTTTTAACTCCACCATGCTCGAAAGGTATACACAAATTACAAACGACTTAACTATATATAGCCTTTTTTTAAAAATAGATGTCAACATTTCTTGTCGACCTGTTAACCATTAAAAAGAGCCGTTAAACCACATGAGGGCGTTCTCTAAAAAGTAATCGGTTTCAACCATTTTTAATTATGAAATTGTGCATTTAATGTTTTGTTTTAATAAAGATTAAATAGAGAGATCATCAACAACTATTTAAAAACATCTGTTGGAAAAATGTAAGCATTTTTTTGTCTTTCAACGGCTGGTTCAAAATTAACGAATATTTGTGGGGCCCCTCAAATATTAGAAATGGTTATATTTATGTATATTTCAGCCGTCTCTGAATCGATTTTAATCAAACAAAGATGATTTTGTCATTTAAATTGTATGCCTTTTCAAATTTGACACTCAGTATTCCATCATCTCATACCAAAACTCAATTATCCCTTTACACTACATAAAATCCACATTCTCTCTAATTTTCTTCAAAAAGGGCTGTCCTGGGAACCCCTTCTTTCTTTACGGATGGGGTGCAGGGGCAGAGCCTTTGCCAGGAGTCTATAGGACGGAGCCCAAGGAAGTTCTTGATTTTTTTTTAATTCAAAAAATTAAAATAGTCGTCACAAGCGATAACAATTGTAACTTCCTCCTTGAAAGTCACATATTATTTCATCTTAGAAATAACCTCTTTTTCTCTCTTGGAACTCTTTTGTTCGTATTGTTGTACTTTCGACCGCAGTCTTCTTAGGCACAATCATGTCGAGCCAACTCATCGGAAATGTAATCTGCAAGTGTAAATTTAGTTTCATGTTCTTCCTTTTTTTCTTTCTTTCTTTCCCTCTCTCTCTCTCTCTCTCTCTTTTCTTTCACCCTCTATCTTCTTCTCGCATATATTATTTTTTCTTTTTTTTTTTCTAATTTTTCCTTCTATCTTTTTCCCAATTGGATTTTTAGGCCACCAAAAAAGGAGGGCCGTTGCTGATTCTCTGCCCCCCCCCCCCCCATCCCCGACCAGCCAGTGATACGTTGATGCAGCCATGCAGGCAATACGCATAACCTGCGGTGGGATTTGGTTTCCATCCTATCTATAGATAGATAGATAGTTTATTGGTTTCCTCAATATCTCAATTTACAAAAAGAGTAACAACATATTGAAAATGATTATAATATACATGTACATACAATACCGGTCCATTGAGTTGAACTAGTGGCGGAGCCTATGGAAAAGCAGAGCTTTTTGTGGATAGGCTCCTCAAACTACAAATGACATAATTAACTAAAATAAAGTTTATAAAAATACAAATACACGCTAAAACAGGGAAAGGGAGATTACAGGGATACATGAACCGATACTTACAATAACCAAAGACAAGGGAAAGGGAAGGGGATATATCTACAGCTTATTGAAACAATATTACAATGAAGTTTGTTCTCGATATGAGTATATTATAAACATAGTTGGCATGGTCATACCGTTATTTACTCATTGTAATCAACGAAAGTAATACAGCTTGGAGACAAGAATAGTCAGGAATCAGGAATGACAATTATGTATTCAAAAAATAACATTTCAATTTTCTTCTGAATACGTGAACACTTACAGACCTTTTAATCACAGAATCGAGAGATTTCCAGAACTTAGGACCTGTATAATTAAGGTATTTTGAGCAAAGCGTGTTCTCGTTCTAGGAAGGTGATATGAAAACGCCTGTCGGGTAGGATAGTCGTGGACTTGATTTCTTTTCTTAAACAAATAAGATAGAGTCTGGGCAGTTCGTTGTTATTCAGCTGAAACATGAGGCAGCTTAATTGTAAATTAAAAATACTCCGAACTCTCAGTACTTTAGTATTAAAGAAAAGAGGGCTCGAGTGAGTACGAATAGGTACATTGCAAATTGTTCGTATTGCTCTTTTTTGAACAACCAGGATTATGTCCAGTTGGAGTGTCAATGAACTACCCCAGGCAAGAATACCATAGTTCAAGTACGGCAACATTAAAGTGGAGTACAACATTTGCAATACATATGATGGGAACATAGGTTTCAGTTTGTGTATCACACAAGCATTTCTTGATAGTAATGAACACAAATAATTTGTACATATTTTCCAGGTCATTCATTCATCAATAAACAGGTCAAGAAACTTGGTCGATTTTACTTTCTTAATAGTATAGTATAGTACGTTGCCGACCTGTTACTCAGAATTTCAATTTTTATGTTATTAGTTCTTTTAATTGTTCTTGCTTCACTTGTTCCAACTCATATTTTCTTCACCTAATGTATCCCTTTTGTTTTAATTTTTGTATCCATCTACCCACCAACCATTTCCCATTTTCCTTATTATCCCTATCTCATGTATTTAAGTTGTAATTACTACATCTGCATTTAGCTCTCAAAGGGTGCGAAAGTGTTATTTTAATACAAAAAATACCTTTTCAATTTCAATTATCATTATGACTTTTCATACAAAAATGATTTTTCATACAGAAAACTGATACGCAAAGGTGTCTGATACTAGTTCTATCGTAACCACTAGTGATGTCTACACACAAGTAACATATGAAACATTACATACTTCGATATTAATCATACTAAAACAAATTCGGAATGGACACTTAGTATGCCGCCTGATTAGAAAGATTATCATGCATATTACAGAGAGTAATTAGCACTCCGTAAACATATGGAATTTGAATATGAATTGCTCGAAAATTCATACAAAATTCTATTTCATAACTGCCAATATTTTCTCCTTGTTGGCTTTCACAAATGCTTCAAAGTCTATGGTCTGCGGATCAAGTTTCTTTGTGTCTTCAACGCTGTAAGATGGATGACTAGTTTGCAGAAACTCAAACATAACACCAAGATCATCAGCTCCGGGAAAGGGTAGCTTAGCAAACTCTTCTGCTGTCATCTGTGTAGGTTAAACAAAAAACAAAACCAACAAATCTGAGTTTGATGGCTCACTGTCGGGTTTTTGTAGGTCCATAATACACAAGGAGGGTTGATTAGAAGATGAAAATCCGAAGGTTTGTTATTCCTTAGGTTTATAACTCTGAAGTTTCATAACTTCGAAAATGAAATAGGGATCATAATTTTGATGGTTCATAATTTAAAAAATAGATAGAAGTCTCATAACATTTTCTGAATTATGATCTTCCAGAAAAACGGACATTCAGCATTATGAGCTTCAAGAAAAAAAAAAAAAAAGCCTCCAGCCTTCTGCTGCCGCTATGTAATATATTACGAATAGAAAAGAAAAAGACACAAACATTACATTAACAATTCTTGTGTCAGTACTCATACACTATCTCCATAGGAAAGACAATGCTTGGTCACAAGAGGGCAGCAGTCTGTTTTTTTTAACTCAAAAGCAAATGAGTTTCCACCTGCAAAATTATGTTTTAGTGCAAAGAGGGATTATGGGCTCGAAGTATTACATACAATTCAGCAGTGAGAATATTTTCAATATATTCCAAATGTATTGAAATAGGTTTAACTATAATTTAATTGTTTTCTATTTGTAAGAACTACTTTTTTTTGACAAATTTTTGCCTAAACGTAGGTATTCCATCCGTTACATTTGAAATTGAAAGAGATATTATGTATGTTTTGTTAACCATCAATATTTTTTCCATTCACGACAGAAATGAACGCTGGAATGAAAAATGAGCAGCTGTTACTTTGTTTACATTACTTGTACATTATACCAAATACAATATTTGCTTTCTTTCTTTTTTTGTTTGTGAATGAAACATGTACAAATGTGTATTATGTGCTTGAGCTATCGCCATAAACTCCTTTTGGGGATTAAATGTAACAAACAAAAACAAAACATCAAATTTACAGGGAGTATGAATAATTCAGTTATTCTCATTCAATATTCTCAATAATTACTTGATTATGATTAATTTAGATGATTTAATATTTGTTCTTTCTTTCCTTTAAGTGGCCAAAAGGGCGAAGGGGGTGGGTTGAATAACAAACTTTGTACTCATCTTGTAAATAACAAACTTCGTACTCGTCTTGTAAATAGCAAACTTTGTACTCATATTGAGTCTAAAAAACTTGTACTCATACTGTGAATCTTCGTACTCATCTTACCTGAGTCGGTGTAACTGTGGCAGGAGCAACATGAGTATTGAGAATCTCACAGTATTGAGACACAGTCTTCCTGTCGCCTGATAATCCAACACTTTTACCTGCCACGTTAAAAACAGGATTAATCAACAAACTTTGTACTCCACATGCAGCGATGATTATAAGGGAGTTTACAGATAGCACATGGTACAAATGACCCCAAATATCCACAAATCTTTTACACATGGAGAAGTTCCACTTTGAGCATCTTAGAATAATAACTGCCAAAGTCCTAGATGTGCTTCATGAATACCTTTTGTTTGACCTCTTGAAAAGAATACTTCCACCTGCGTATCATAGAATGTACCGTTGGTGCATAAATGAATAATGTTACATAACTTTCATGAGCGCATATCCAGTATTCATCTCTGTGGGTTTTACCATTTTGGTACAAATGACCTTTATCTGCCCATGCGCAGATTGTATCTGTAAACTCCCTTACTGATAGCGATAATACTTCGTATATAAAGAAGAAACAAGACACCAAATAAAACAGCAATACATTGATCGTCTACTAAATATATTTGAAGAGAGAAGAAAATAAATGTTTACATATATAACTGACCTTTTTTCACCAGGAATTAAATGCGCACTAAGTAATAATCAATGAACTTACCGATGTACTCGGCGGGATTCTTGAAAATGCCTGTTACAGCAAGTCCAGCACGACTGGTATACACCATATCAAAGTCTTTGTTTCCCATGGGAATGTCTGCATGAAAATGGAATGAAATTTGTATGAAAAACATCTAGTCACACATTCAAATAAGAAAATTACCATTCTCTCCAAAAATGTTTATTATTTGGAGAATTGCCCACTGTCACTTGGTTCTGCACAGAACATAAAAAGTAACATCTCACTCCCAGAATCATACAAATAATTTTTCATAGGTCTCATGATAAAAATAACATGTATTTGCATAATATTGCAGCATTTTACGGGTTCTTAAGGGTATAGTCTATTGCCAAATAATCCTAATCAGATTCAAGCTTGAGAGACTAGAAGAGCTTTCGATAGAACCTGAATTTCTCAACTTCGTTCCACATCCTGCGCATCATCCCAGCAAAATTGCTAAGACAGCAGATCAAGGATCTTTTTTTTCGTGAGGGGGGGGGGGGGGGCTATGTTCTCTTTTCAGGATGGCAAGGCATTCATTTATCTATTTTTTAAAGTTTCCATGCAAAGATTTCTTTTTTAATTAAATAGAAATATATAGAGACATAAGAAATAAGAAATATTAATATTATAAGAAAACTGTTGTGTCCGAGGATAGCCTGAAGTGAAAGACGCACCCCTAATTAGTATGACAAAGCCATATTTTGTTTCTCACTAGATTTTCCGGATGTGATGTGTATAATGAGTTCGGGGTGGGGTCAGGTGTTGTCTTAGTTTATATCCAGATCAGTATGTTATTCTTTCCTTTTTTCCCCCTCTCCATAAGTACAGGGGTGTTGATCAACAAAAGATTTTGAAAAACCTGACCGACTTATTTTGTTTGTTTGTCGGGAACCGTGTCCATTTACCCCCCCCCCCCTTACTCTCCTATCCACCTCTGATCATGGACCTACTACGAATAGTAGGTCCATGCTCTGATTATGCACACCGGGATCAACAGTCTGAAACCAACAAGGATTGAACCCTGGCATACTGTCCCTTGGAAATGACGTTAAATGGAGGCTCACGTGTATGTTAAGAGCCCACTGTACTCGATTAAGACTACATTGTATTTGCAAATCCCGGTGCGGTACACAAAGTCATGCACATCTCAATCCGATATACCGGGAAGAGAGTCCCGAGTACAATTTTCAGTCCGCTTTTCCTTCTCAGGCTCAGGTGACGCCAATTCCATGAAGATAAAACTTACTCCAAACATATTGGCCATCGCCTACTTTCTGCGGAGCTAGCTGGGTAAAGATGTTCTCCATGAACGCGGCATAGCGTACTGAAGTAGCAGATAAACCTGATGCAAACATGTATTCCTCTACTTCTGCTTTGCCGTCAAAATGAGGACATGCCTTCTCTATAGCTTTCTTGACCGATTGCAATCCACTGAAGACGAAATGCTCCACGCCAACTTTCTTGGCTACATCGACGATGTTTTTGCCCTAGACAATGAGAGTGATGCATAAATTTAACATGGTTGTGAAATTAATTAATGAATTACTTAGAATGTCTATTAAAAAAACTTTACCTGTCACTTTTCAGAAAGTGATCACCGTTTGATGTCAATTTTTCAAATTTCACATGAATGTTCAAGAAATTCACATGCACCACATAATGTTAACTCCCATTAAAGTCTCTCGGTCTGATATATAGCATGAATTGCAGTGGAAATAGAGATGATACATGTCAATTCCGCAAACTATTTTCATATTTTCCATATATAAAATGTAATTCATAGTTATTAATTGATCCAATCTTTCATTTCTTTGTATAATTGTATAAAACAGTGGCTTCAATGCAACCCACGACTCATCAGTATGGTCAGGATTAGGGTTAGGGAGGTGTCCTAGCTCCCACCTCCCTAGCCTTTTGACAATTAGGCCTCGTGACTCTGGCTAAGCGGCTGAAATGAGTCTAGATACCCGGGGTGAACGCGCGACCGAATGTCTGGGCAATTCGCACTGGCGTTCACTCAGGTTTTCGCGATTAGTCTCTTTTTAGTCGCTCGGCGTCTATCAGACATGTGGCCTTGTTTAAAGGCTACCACCTCCCTGGTAAGAGTACAGTCAGAGTCAGAGGTTTCAAACTTTCAATAGGCCAGTCAATAACTGTTTTCATTGTTTTACCAAGCGCCCTGTCAAGACCCATAGCATAGAATCTTGGATATGTCAATATGTCTCATATCAGAGAGTAACTTTGAAAATATAAAATATTTGTCTGAATGTATTTTTTCATCTTATTCACCTACCATCTCAACTTCTTTTGCCTGGTCCATCAATTCCCAGTAATTTGTCATTGCGAAGACACCATAGCTTCCTGCCATAGCCTGTTCTAAAGAAGCTACATCTTCAGTCGAAGCCTTCACCATTTCAACTCCTAAATAAATCGGGGGGGATCATACAGCATACATTACAAAACAATACACGCATCATGCTAAAAGGTTATTTCTATGGTACATATAACAGGATTGTCTTTTACATCTGGCTGCTGACGTAACGTTCCCAGAATCCCAGGATGGTTTGGAGCCTAAGGTTGCAAGGACTCTTTCTGCATTATTGGAATCTTGACTTAATTTTTTTAAATAATGTAAATAACGTTGTGACAATTTTATCATGGCACTGCATAATATGGTTCTAGTACAATTATCCCCTGGACAATCACCTCCCCCTCCCACCCCCGGCCAATTACCAGAGGGACAAGTACACCCCTGGAAATTCCCCGCCGGTTAATTCCCTCCCCCCCCCCCCCCCCCCCCCCCCCCCCCCCCCGGAAACCACCCCGAGGACAATTACCCCCAGAAAATTACCCTCTAGGACAATAACCCCCCCCCCCTAGGACAATAGCTCCCGCCCCCTGAAAAGTACCCCCTTGAACAATCCCCCTACCCCCTTGGACAATTCTGATTTTGTTAAAACCTTGATTAAAATCAACTTTAAGTTATTATCAGGGTAGACTTCCACTTTCATTAACAGGGGGTAATTGTCCATTGGGGGTTATCTGATTCAATTTTGATTTTTTTCAATTTAAACGACTTAATTTTGATTCCTTAAATTTCATTATAAATGACTGATGTGGAAGACCAGTCAACGCACCCTTTCGAGAGAAGCCCCCTCCCACATCCCCCCTCCCCAAACCCCACCCCACTTATGCACTTGTCATTTGTAAGACGCACCTCTTGACCCCCGGGAATGGTGCGTCATTGTACCGATGTGAGTCGTACATTTTGATACCATGACGCACCTTCCGTCACAGAAAGTGACACACCATTACATTCCATCGACGCACATTTGAGTCAAACATATGACACACCATTTCATGAAAATGACTAGCCAATGACGCACATTTGAGAAACACTTCTGCTTGGAGAAAGTGACGGTCCCATTGACACACCAAATGACGCAACGTGGTAAAGTGACTTACTATGACGCACATATGGGTCAGTATTGTGACGGACATTTTGCGGCCATGACGGTACTGTGCGTCGCGATTTTGGGGAACATGACGCAACCATGACGCACCATTCCCGGGGGTCAAGAGGTGCGTCTTACAAATGACAAGTGCATTATCCCGAAAGGGTGCGTTAAGATGGTACTCGATCCGTTCTCAACGCGCCGCACCGCACCGCACCGCACCCTTTCGACAAAATATAGAGCAGAACAATACTACATCCCGTTCATTTTGGCGAAATTATATCACTTTATCAGTCACCATGCACTTTAATATATAGCACAACGTACAACGTAATTTGATATATTTGTGTTTACCTTCTTGGATAAGGGCTTTAGCTTTCTCGCTCTCCACATTTCTAGTGATGCCTCGGACCTTAAAGCTGCTGTCTTTTAGAAGTGCTTTCACCAAAGACCCTCCTTGGGTTCCCGTGGCTCCGAATACTGTGATGAGTTTTGCCATTTTGGAATGAGGTGGTACAATCGATGAATCGTACAGCTACAAACAGACTCACAACATGGATGATTGTATTTGTTTCCGACTGCATAGTACGCAGCTAAAAGCCACATTATAATACCACGCATCCATGCTCAGAGTATAGTCTTAATTTACAGACCATATTCTTTGTATACTTTAATTTCCTTTTTTTTTAATATCCTTTTTTTTTAATATCCAACCTTCTCTTATCCACGTCGTTGTTTAGATTGTATTTTTTTTTTAATTACTTTTTTTAGTTATGTGTTTTGCTTTATTCGAATTTGTAGAGATGAATAAAGTAGTATGCCTCGATCGAGGTAAAGAAGAACGGATATAAAATGATTTGAACATAGACAAACGTGAAATTCGCATTCTTGCTGTACGCCTGTACCTACAGCAATATAATCCCTCCGACGTCGCTGGTATGGTCACAAGGGCGGATCGAGGAGCGACTTCCAAAGTGGAGGGGGGGGGGGCACCAACAAGAAGGGCCCTTTATAGGGAAAAGGGCACCTTCAAAGGGTAATCTCACAGCGAAAATATACAATTTGTTAGACATTGGTATGTCACATTGTGATTACATTATCTGGGACGCTCTCAATCTTTGTTTCTCTTTATACATCATACAAAATATTACTTAAGCAGCATATACTTTACAGTTGGGTGTGATGGTCTGACTATTCATTTGCGAGCGAAGCACATTTTTTAGATTTGTGAGGTCGCAGTACGAAAAATTACATCTTATAAAATAATAATAATTACAGTGCTTATATAGCGCCTAACACTTACTTTGTCAGAAGTCTCTAAGCGCTCTACAATAATGCAGCATAATTACCCTGGCTTTAGCAGTGCAGCTGTTACGCGCGCTGCGTTTCAAGGAATAAATTCCTACCAGGTACCCATTTACTTCACCTGGGTGGAGTGTGGCAAATGTAGATCAATGTCTTGCCAAAGGACATTAGTCCAGCGGCGGGACTCGAACCGCGGACCTTGTGATCGACAGTCCGGCGACGTATCCACTCGACCACAACACCTCTACGTCTCTAAGCACAAGACTGAAAAGACCTTTGATAAGTAACATAATTATATTATCTATAAATGCGAGTGAGTGTAGCGAGCTTTGGGGGAAATTGCTCTTACAGTCACTTTAAATTAGGGGTACATTTAATGATGAGAGGAAAAAGGGACACTTATCGAAAGGGATAATGCACCTATTAGAAAAGAAAAGGAGCATGTCAAAGTACAAGGGGTAATTATCAGAGCTGAAAATGGGGGCATTTCTTATACCTGAAAAGAGGCACTCACCACGGATGAAAAAAAGGCACTTATGAAAATGGTAAATGGGCATTTTTCAACGGAAATGGGACACCCATTAGATTTTGATGGGGCATTTATAAGAGGTGAAAAGGGGCATTTATGAAAAGGGGATAGGTCCCTTTTTAGAAAGGAAAAGGGGGGCGTATCATTGTTCAAAGGGAAATTATCAGACGTGAAAAGGGGCACTAATTTAAAAGGTAGACTTTTCATAGGTAAAAAGAGATCGTATGAGAAGGGGGTTGTCGAAGGAAAAGGGGTACGTGTCAAAATAAAAAGGGGCTCTTTTCATAGGTGAAAAGGAATAGAGGCACTTTTCAAAGAACAATGGGCACTTTTCCTATGTAAAAAGGGGCACTTTTGGGTAATTGAAAAAATGTGAGGGTACTGTGCCACCCCTCCCCCCCCCCCCCGGAGCGCCGCCTCTGGTCACAACTATTGTTAATTAAACGCACAAAATACACGCCAACTCAATAATAAAATGTATAACTTCCGTCTGTAAATATGCCAATTGAGAACTCTTGAACCCTTGATATTGTCGACAAGGTTTAAAGCCCAAGTCCACTCCAGAATTAAGTTGCTTTCAATAGAAGCAGAAAAATCAGACAAAACAATCAAAAAATGTTTAACCAAAATCGGATAACTAATAAGAAAGTTATGTCCTCACTATCCACTAATTATTTTCTTTATATTGATAATATAAATTTCCCATTTTCTCCCTAAGAATCTTATTTCTTCACACCAGCATCCAAGTTAGATTGATATTAATGTGTTTGTGTGTGAATGCACTAATATAGAGTAATTTTGTCCAGTTAAAATAATGAAAAATGTGAATTTTGATAAAGTGTTTAATATTAAAAAATCAACAATAATTATGAATATACAATATTCAGAAAATAGTATTAATTCTTCAGTTCATGAAAATGCTTGTGAAATGTCATGCACGCAATATGATACAAATCATATAACGTGGGCAAAGGCATGGGGAAATCAAGTTTTAGAGGATAAAAAGGGAAATTAATGGGATTAAACTATATAAAGCCATTGATAAATAATGAGGACATGACGTCACAAACTGATAACCAAATTGGCAATTTGCGTAGTGATTTCCATTGTTCCATAGTTTTACATACTTTTTCAAAAATTCATAACTTATTTATTAGTTATATGATTTTGCTCAAACTTTTTTTGATTGGTTTGTCTGATTTTTCTGCTTCTATGGAAAGTAAGTTATTTTTGCAGTGGACTTGGGCTTTAAAGATATGTTAATCTAGTTTCAAGTTAATATTAAGACAATCTTTTTTTATTTTGAAAAACGCAATTCATTATGTTTACCCATGTAACCTCTGTTTCTTTCTCTTTCTCTGTCTCTTTCTCTGTCTCTCTGTCTCTCTCACTCTCACTCTGTCTCTCTCTGTCTCTCTCTCTCTCTCTCTCTCTCTCTCTCTCTCTCTCTAAATGACAGCATATAGGCCTACTATACTCTTATTATTATACTGTCATGATTCTTTCGCGAAGAAAAAGTTGACCCAAAATGATTGTTTCGAAATGAACAATCAAAGCAAAGTCTCGCTCTCTATATTTAATGTCTACCTTTATTTAAGTAATGGTTTTAAAAAATAGGTATTTCGACTTACTTTCTTTAAAATAATTAGAATTGAGTGACCCATAATTATCTGACCTTCTTTGCATTAGTATCCGTTTATAGAGGGACACGAATTAGAACGCCCGGGTAATAATTATTTAGCTTGGCTGGTGAGCGTATGAGTTCGTTGATAACGCCATCTTCGGCGGCTTGAATCAATTGTAGGGAATAATACATGTTTATTAAAAGAACGGCCAGATTCTGGACTAGTACTAGCCAACAGGAAGGAAATCGTGCCTATGTACTTTGTACATTAGACTGGAACTGATTGAGGGACATTGTGAAGTTTGAAAGTGAGAGAGGGTTGGGGCTGAGCATGCAAAGGATGTGACAATACTGCTATAGTGTGTATAGGGTGACTAAGAAAGCTTTTAAAACATGAAATGAAATAAACACATTTTTTTTAAACTCTCTTTTTCCTCTCTCAACAGGACGATTTTCTTATCCCTATATAGCTCTTCTAATTTCCTATTAGTGTCTCTCCTATTTCTCTCTCCACTCTTTATCCCTTTCCTTAAATTCTTATTTTCCATCTTTATTTCTTCCTTACTTCTTCCCCCCCCCCCCCCGTTGTCTTCTCTTTCTCACTCTACCTATACAGGGGCGGATCCAGCCGGCGGCGAGGGGGGGGGGGGGGGCAATACGTAAGAAAATATATCATTAAGCGGCGCGTTCAGCGCTTGTGCTGACAGGGGAGAGTCTAAGGGGAATGTGCCCACCCTGAAGAAAAACAAAGATCGAATTTTCAAACTCAATCGCGCGATTTGGTGTATACTTATTGCCAGGATTTCACTTAAAATCTGTGACTTTTTCCAGCATAAAATAATGATAAGTCTTGGATTTCTAGGAGGTTCTCCTGGGGAAAAGACTGTAAACACAGGAAGCAGGACTATGTGCAGTCGATGTATATAGTAAGTCGGTGTATTACAACATTGAGCGTCCTACCTATTAAATTATCCGTCTCTATTATACAAGCACGGAATAAACTGTAAGATCAATGGAATATGATCCGTACATAGCCAGTGGCTTAATGAGCAAAAACTTATTGAGGGCAGAAAAAAAAATCCGCATCATGACCAGGTGGCATAGTGCCGGTAATTTTTGTTTAAGGGGGATGCGAATATTGGCGATGGCGGTCAAGATGTGGGCCTACAGACTACGTTTAAGCTATGGCCAGGGGCGTACGCATTTTTCAAGGGGAGTTAACATTTTTAAATCGGGTCGAAAATTTCGCAACGACTCAGCCAGCCGCTGAATAGTTTGTGAAGTTGAAACCTCAAACCATGCTATAACGTTTGGATATAATTTAACAAAAAGCTTAAGACTTTTTTGTTTTTGTTTTTACTGTAAAGCATACAACCTTTCGTTCATTTGTCGGATTCCAGACAAGTCATGTTGACATTACATTATGTATATGATTATACATACCTAGTTTGCGATTTCCATAATCATGAGAACACTTTCATATTATTTAGTAAAAACTTATTTCTATTGTCTGTTTATCGATTATGTTCTTAAAGTCATTATATTCCTGCTTTCAATTGAATCTTGTCGCATGTGCACTCTATTTCCACAAAGTCTCCTTTTCCCCCTAAAACTAAAACAAACAAAACTAAAACAAAATGTAATAATAATAATAATAATAATAATAATAATAGCCTAATAGTCCACTCCAAATTTTATTAAACCGAAACGGAAATTCTTTTTGCTCAATTGATCGTGAGCCCGGCAGCCACTGAGCAGCGCCAGATCGACGTTGCTCTATCCCTTTATTGTTGAACGCCAAACAAGGTAGCAACAACTCCCATCTTTTAACGTCTTTTGGTATGACGCGGCCGGGGTTCGAACCCACGACCTCCCGGTTGTGAGGCGGACGCTCTACTGACTGAGCCAACACTCCGGTAGATCTTTATACTGTCGGTTATTAAGCCTTTTTTGTTCAAAACGCAAGATGATTGCATTTTCAGTATTGTATTTCTATCTTTTTCGTTGATTGTCCTCTACTGGCATCTTTATTCTAAACATTTCTATATTTTTAAAGAATTGAATAAAAAAATGCTATTATCTCGAACTTTAATCCTGACATTTATGCTTCAAAAGTGAAGCCTAAGATACACCAGCAAGACGATTACAACAGTTAACACTTCTATCACTGACTTGTTAAGGGGTATTTAAAAGGCTATAAATCGCTGAAATCTTGGGCAGATCAATGATTACCCCTAAAAAGACTCTTTTCCTACCAACAAACCACTCTTTTGTACCTCTCCACGCCTTTTGTTATGTTAATCAATGCACCATTCTCACCGGCGGTTCCGCATGCTAGATCAAGCTTCCACGCCTCGATAAGTAACAACAAAAGTGGGTGTTTCAACTGGTTTTGAAGAAGTGCGTGACCCGAGATCTGTACCTCCTGTATCACATACACACGGGTGTGTACCTTGAATTCTACGCTACATGGACACCATATGACTTTGATATGGGCGTTGCGAGTTAAGAGTCCATGATTAACACAGACACTCCACCCAAGTTGCATCGAGCCCTCACTTAGGGCCATGAACCTGTTCAGAACTGACAACATATATTTGATCGCCAAACGCTCTTATCTACCGTAGACGAAATATAAGCCAGACCCTACGAGGGTTGTTAGATATTTACGGGAGCATTTCCGGAACTTCTACAAGTTAAGCACACTCAATCTGCACATACATGTTACAAACGTCAAAGCGAAACTTGGAAAAGGCTTTCATTTTGGATGCAATATTTTAACATTTTCTCGTCGTAGACTGACTTACGAAGGAACCTATCCATGAGAGTTTGACAAGTTTTGTTAACATTTTCCTTAGCGGACGAAACGTCTAAAACTTCTCGACGCAATGGCGGTCAACAATTGGACTACTTCTTGCCGAATCCTTGTCACGATTCTATCCACACTCTGTTTGGTAAGTCATGTCAGTGTTGTTTTCTTATTATGACAATCAGTCAAGTTTGGCTTTACTGTATAATCATTGCCAAGTTCGAGAATAGCCTTTTTATTCCGTGTCTGCATTTGTTTTTTTATTACGCTAAACATGATCAATGGCGGCAAAGCAGGTTGATGGATCCCCATAACTGAGGGAGCTATCTTTTGTATAACTCGGACATTGGGTTTTCATGAAATATAAACTCATATGTTTATGAAACGTAACCAAAACATTTCGGTATATTTAGGTTAATGACATTTGTAGTTTCTTTTTCTGGTGCTAGCATACAACTTATATTGGAGTTAATTATTATAGATTGGTTGCTTTAAAAAAACGTTGCCATTGCTAGTAAAAGGTAAGTTATAAAAGTATAGCTTAAAAATGAACCTGATATTTTTGGAGTTATATATATAATTTTATAAACATTGTTTGGCATACCAGTAGAGTGCGTTTCAATAGAATACTTGATACCACAGTCACATGGCTGCAAAATGAAAATATATCTGTACTAGTTTATAGGAGGGATTAGACCACCATGCAAGGTCACTGGACATGTGGTTATCTCATCAACTCAGCTCTCAATTAACATATGAAAAAGAGGATCATGGCTGACCAGTGGTCACCGATTAGGCATTGTTTTCTATATAGAGGGAGCAAGTAGCTACAAGTAGGTCAGTGTGGCTTTAATATGATGAAGCATTTCAAATCTCTGTATACATGCAGCTCCCCTTCTTAGGTAGTTTATAAATATTGCTCTAAAGAGCATTGCAACCAAACACATTTTCTTTGACTGCAGTTCATTTGTATGCCTTTATATTTGCCGAACACCAACATACATGTACATAATGATGTTTGGGAAAGGGATTCGCTACTTTCATAACCCATGTAGGTTAAAGCAGTTATAACAACAAACTCTAGGCATGTCGTCGTGTCAATAATATTGTTGGTACCTGTATATTATAATGATACATGGACATTACAAAATCAATTGTTACAGTAAAAAAAAAATACACGGGGGCTCGGGGTGAAGTAGCCCCCGAAATGCCAAAAAGAGTCCCCGAAAGTCATAAAAGAGCCCTCAAAAATTTGCATAGAGTTCAATGCAAAACAAGTTAAAGAGTGTTATTTTCATGCAAGCAAGCTTGAAAAGTAGTCCCCGAAATTGTTAAAAGTATTTTTTCCCCTGAATTTTTATGGTATATAATATAGATACATAATTATACATTGTGCGCATGTAATATATATATATATACATGCATATATTGTCGAATTAAAGATTTTGACCTTGGAATAATGCTTTAATATTTGATTTTTAGCGAGTCTCGTTCAGAGCCATTACCCAGAACCAGTAAAATTAATGGGAGAAGAAAAGTTTTTCTCTTTATATACATTATATAATGTATATAAAGAGGGAGACTTTTCTTCTCACATTAATTTTACTGGTTCTGGGTAATGGCTCTGAACGAGATTCGCTGAAAATCAAATATTAAAGCATTATTCCAAGGTCAAAATCTTATTCGACAATATGCACAACATATATGGACCAGATTGAAATGAAAAGAAAAAAAACTTTTCTTTTGATTGGTTTTCAAATCAATTTACAAATACAATTTTCTAATTTTCATATTATAGGGAATTTAGCACGGAAAATGAAGAAAACACAATTTAAAAAAAGAAGAAGTAGTAATCACCTAAATAAATGTAACATTTTAGTTTGTCATCATTCACTCAATCATTGTGCTAGGACATTTCAAGATGTTAAGTTTACACCTTTTTAAACATACTATTATAACGAGGATTTGTTCCATGTACATGACTTGTATATTATAGAAGTTGCACATTGAAATGGTTATGTGCATTATTATGTAAAGAACAAATTATGCGATGACGTCAACCAACCATTTACGATTACAAAAATGAATATTATCAAACAAAAATATTATTTAAAAGAATAAAAGGTAAGCGAACAAAAACACACACAAAAATCTTCCACAAAAAGAAAGGTTCATCGACAATTGATCTGGGAAGGGCTTTGCCACTGAACCTAATGACGTCACAATAAATTCACGGTACAGTTGAGTTATACATGTATATTACTCTCATTCAGCCGTATCTTGTTGACTTCAGTATACCATACTTGCAACCATTATGTACATACATGTATACAGCTACTGCAGGTCCTCTGCTACTAACTTCACAAAACAGGGACGTGGGCTAAAGCAAAAAAGAGAACCTTTATTTTGGTACTGTTAAGAAATCTTTTTCTGTTTGAGTGAATGCGATTAGAATTGTAATGATTTTTATTGAATATGATGACGCTATAGTTTAACTTTTTTTTTTCGTTGTCACAACTAATTCTTCTCTACAATCTTTAGATGGGATACGAAAACATGTTTTTATTACTTGGTATAAAATGCCATGGACGTGATATTTAAGGAGGGTGTGATGATCTGAAATAATCGTTTGCATTATAGAATAATATTTACGTAGAAAATAATGTACTTCTTATATAACAGAAAAAATTATGATATACATGTAATCTACTTTGAATGGTTTAAATAAGGTACGTAAATTAACACATTTGCGTGTGTAATACAACATATCAGCTTTGAAACAACTATTGACGACCAGCATTTCTTTATCATGTTGTTGGATTGTGTGATTAAATGCCGCAAAAACTGGGGTTAAAAAACGTAATAGCAAAACCACGAATTACCCGTTATTTTTGTTTACTTTTATTAATATACATGTACCTGTCAATTTTTCAGACGTGCCAAGTTCTAGTTGAACATCAGTTTTTTATTGCGGGGGGGGGGGGGGGGGTTTACAAGACCATCAATGCATCGAACTGATACAATACTATGAATACACTCATTGGCAAATAATACACAGTATAAGTTACGTACGACATGTCTGTGACGTCTTCGTTGAAAAACAAATAAAATATTTTCCGTGCATACTATTTGCTTAACCTTCGCCTGATTGAATTAAAATGGAAACACCTAGAGATAGAGAATTCTGTAAAGAAAAAAGTTTACTCCCGCCTCAACAAACTTTTTTTTATGTAGGGGAAGTTTAAGTCCATTCTACATGTATCTTCTTTCGTCCCAATTACTGAAATTATATCATTTTGATATCTAAAACGTTTTCTTTTTGTCAGTTTGTAGGGGAAGTTTAAGTCCATTCTATCTTCTTTCGTCCCAATTACTGAAATTGTATATAATTTTGATATCTAACAAACGTTTTCTTTTTGTCAGTTTGCCTGCAGTTTCCATACTAAGATAAACTCGAGATTAAGAGTATTCGAGAATATATAAAATGGAAGTATCAGCCAAGTTTGCAAACTAATATGGATACTAACCGGTTACTTTCGCGTTTGTGATGGTTCTATTACTTCGTGCTGATATGATTACGGGGAAGTAGGCTTATGATGTGAATACAATGATCCTAAATATTTTGTTAATTCTATTCATAATATATAATCATCATTTTCTTTTACCAAGCACTACTGTATACCCTTTTCATGATCACTATTCATAACTTTCAATCTAAACATTTTAGGACGAACATAACCACTTGCTTGATCGTCTATGGTGAATGTGAATTTAAAACAAAAAGAAAAGATTTTTGGTAACTACAAGGTATTTTATTCTCCTCCATTCGCCGAGTGGTACATTAATATGAATTCAACAAAGACTTGTAATTAAATTCAAAAGAACAACTCCATATATGTGAATATTGATATAAACCCAACAAAGTAGACGCCCCCAGTCAATTTTATTAAGTTCATTTATCATGTTATATCCCTATTACAGATTTAGTTTCATTATTTGTTGTTTTTATTATTGTATATCTTTCTTAGATCACCCATTGGCTGCGACGAAAACATTATGAAGCCTTCAATTCAATTCATTTCAACTCAATTCTTAAAATGACACATTTCTCATACATAATTTAGATTGATTTATATTCAAAAGACTGAATATAATTATGTGCATATAATCATCCTTTTCCTATTCAAAAGAAATACAAATCCTTTACTCTCATGAATTAGGAGCGTCTTAAAATAAGAGCTTAATATGATGGCTTAGAGATGAATATAATCGGTACTGAATATGTCCATTTTTCATTGCGTTGTTGCACAATTTGTACACTTTGCTCGGTTTATAGAAAGGAGTGTCCGGTATAAAACCGCATTCTCACTCACTTCCTGCATGGACCGATGTACGCTATAGAACGGTCCAGAAAGTGAGTGTGAATGGGGTCTTAATAATAATGATAAGAGTAAGAATAGCATGGAAAGATATGAAACGAACAGAGAAATACTGCATATGGCAGGGCTTCACGATAAAGGTGAGTTCTGGTCATCCGATTGCATTGTGAAAGAAATGATGTGGAATGGATCAGAAAAAGTTGATCATGTAGCATGTAAGTATTGTGTACTGCAAAGTTCTGGAGTCATCAAAATCATAATAAATTTTGCCCAGTCTTGGTAAAGTAACAAGCTCTGCACACAGAAAGATGTGGGACTACACAAATGATGTCGGGGGGGGGGGGGGGGCTATCAACCTTGATTTCCTAATCTCTCTATGCTCATTACTCAGCCAGTATACATTTTCTATCAAATTGTTTGGCAAATGACATTTATTTGTAATCTTTAACATTCAGTGTCAGTTTCGTTTGATTCTGTGAGAATTCATTTTTTTTTTAACCAGAACTCACCTTTATCTTTAATCAAAGTATCCTGATAGGAATGGTTAAAGAAAGAAAGGCAAAATACTTTGGCCACATCAAAATACATCAGTCTCTTGAAAGACGACATTGGAAGGAAAATTAGAAGGTAGCAGACCAAGATGAAAACCAAGAACTAACTGGGAGGGAAACATTAAGACATGGAATGAAATGACACTGCGGGAGTGTACTATGATGGCAGAAAACATAGAATATTGTGTGGAAAAGATGTTGCAGTCAACATCCGA